CCTGATCAGCAAACAGATCCTGATCGTTACCCAGCTCTGTAACAGATAAATACGCCTTTTGGACTAAATCATTATCTAACTGCCTTTTTTTAAATGGAGCTGGGCAATTATTTTTAAACCCTGCTATGAGGAATAATAGTCGACTTCACAGGGCTGGCTGGGAATAGGCCATAACACTTGGGGAAAGTCCAGGCTGAAATGCTCTGTAGTTTAATGACATGTTACATAGGGAGAAAAATGCATTTGGAAGGAAATACTATTAAAAGAGGTAAGAAATAAAATGCAGTACTGTGAAATGCTTATAAGAGAAGGAAAAATATTATCTGACTATTCAATTTTCAAAAGATTTCAGAGCTTGTCTGCCTGGACTGTGATGAGTAAACTACAGAAAAATGCCCTGGTTATGGATTGAGCCAAAGGTGACCTTACAGGACCTTTTTTGTTCTGAGAGACAAACTAAGGAAGGTAAAACAGGTGTCATTGTTAAGAAAGGGATATTCAGCCCTAGGATGATTATGATTCTTCAAGCTGTAGAAATGCAGTCAGAAAAATCTGCAGTAGCTTTACCATCTATTAATAATACAGAAGCATGTTCTGGCATTAAAATAATGAGGAATGCTAATTCCAGATCCCTTTTGATCCCATCTCTCTCTTTTTTTTTTTTTAATGACATATCTATTCTTTTCAGTTTAATGTTTCTGATTATTCAGGAGATAATTATTCATAAATTGTTTCTAGTAAAATCTATTTAATAACCTATTTTCATTTAGCATCCCCAAGCAACACCAAATTTCTAATTACTTACATCAGTGGTCACCTCTCAAAGATCACTGAGACCTCCCAGAAAAAAACCTCGTTGCAAATGTCCTTCCTGGGCTTGAATGTCAAAACCTGCCTATTCCACATATGTGGTTTCTACAGAATCATTTAGTGGCCATAAGCCATAGAACGCTGGCATTTCCCAAGCTCTCTGATTAAACACCCATTTCCTGACTATCCTTAAAGAAGAATTTTGCAGCTGAAAAATTAAAATCCTTTAAAAAATTCTAACTGAGTAATTGATGATTTTTAAAAGGAAGATAATAGATATTTTGTCTGCAAGAAGAAAGGTCACATAAATAGATAACACAGCACTAAGAGCTCTTTTAAACAATTTGAAAAGTCTTAATCAGCAATTCATGTATCAAGAGACCCATGAAACAAAACAGAGCTGTGATGTAGATCTATCAGCTCCAGTAAAACACAGGCTTGAGATCCCACTGCAGCCAGCACCCAATAAATGAACAGAAGAAAGAAGCTTCAGCCCCAGAAAGCTCATTTCAGGCACAAAAAAAAGTAGCAATTGTCATTTTATCTTGTAAGTCCTTCCAGGCTGCCCTATTGCCTGTCTTTTCAGCACAGAGGAAGACAGATCCATGTGTGGGGTGTATAGCACTGCCAAAATATAGGGAAAATTTAAAAATAAATAAATCTATGATTTTTAATTTCTTAAAAAATTAAAGTAAGTACATATCAAATGAAGAAGATATAGCAAAAAAAGAAAAATGCAACAGTAATTACGGTTTCATTAGTTTGGAGAGGCAATCTCAGTGATATGGCTATTAACCACCATCCAAATGTGATTAAAACCAAAAAATAAAAAATTAAAAAATAAAAAAATAAAAAAAAATAATGGGAATTCTTTCCCAGGGTTGCATTTCCAAAGAGGAAAGTGGAAGATGATAGCCCAACATGTGCCAGCCAGTGCAGGGAGGGAGCCACACTCACTGGCCTGGCTGCTGCCTCCTCCCCTCTGCCTCAACAAAGCAGAGCCCAGAGCTCAGGCTGGAGCTCAGTTCCTCTCCTCAGGCACTTCTCAGTGTCAATCCCCATCTCCCTGACAGTGCCCACATGCAATCGATGCTGATGGAGGAGCGTGTGTCACTGTGGAGCATGGCATGTCCCCTTTGGAGAGTGTGTCACTGTGTGGAACATGGCACAGCCCATTTGGAGCATGTGTCCCTGTGTGGAGCATGGCACATCTGTGTGGAGCATGGCACAGCCCATTTGGTGACCCCGGCTGGCAGGAGGGTTTACAGCACACGCGTGTGGACATCAGCTCACAGCGGAAGGGTAAATCATGACAAGAAACTTCTCTCACAGTACAACAACAGAAAGGGATGGCAGTGCTTGTAACCACAGTGCTTTGGGGGCTGGAGGGGTGCCCTTGTGCAAGCAGCAAGGTGAGAAGTTCAGCACAGCATTATACAAACTGTTCTTAACCATCTATCTGTGTGGGCAAAGGGGCTGCAGGAGACCAGACAACCAAAACCATTTTTTTAAAAAATGCAGCCTGAACAGGCTGCACAAGGGTCACAGACACCATCCCTGAGCTGGTGGCACCATGCAGGGGCTCCCTGGGCACAGTCAGGCTCTCTGGACAAAGCTCAAATGCCAAGCTGTGTGCAGTGTAAGACTGCAACCTCTAAATGAAGATTAGTCATTGCAATTCTTTGTTAGCAGGTGCTGTAAGTAAAAGTGTGTTTCCAGTTTAGTGAAGCAAGTGCATAATGCTTTTAACGCACACTCTAAAGTGCTGTTCCTGTCAAAATCTCTTCCCCAAACCATGATAGCTCACATCAGAAGCACTGCAGATGCAGACTCACTGCCTCATGGCAAAGGGCTGACATTTCTGGTGAGGACCCACAGCCCTCTGCTACTACAGCAGCAACA